GCATCTCCTGTCCTCCTGTGCTGTACCTTTATGCTGCCATGGGCACAGAGCCAATGTGCTCCTTCTAGCCCTCCATTCCAGTGACCTTGATCTCTGGTTCTTTCCAAACCTCTGTCTGTCTAATACTGAACTTCAGTGCATTCCTCCCTTACTGAGTTCTGCAGTTGTGTCAATTCCAAGAGCATGCTAGAACATGCTGGAACATGCTTCCTGCTCCTAATCTGACATCTTGGCTCCTCCCCTCTGCTGTCTTAACTCTTAGGTCAAATTCTACTCAGTTCCACACATAGACATGTTGATCATTAAAAAAAAGTTTTGTCCAAAACTATAACACAAAGTTATTTTAATTAAAATGTTAATTTAAAGATATAATGCAAGTTGTGTTTTATTTTCTTGTCTCTCTTCCCTATTTTCTGCCTCTGCACTTGTGCTTCCTGAACAGCCACAGTAGCCTAAACACCTAAAACTCTTTGGCTCTATCCTAGGGATCAGACTCACAAGGTCAGAATGTCCTGTGCAGAATGATAATGCCAAAAGTCCAACTGCCTCTTGGACAGTTTGACTGCCTGTGATTTCCATAATTTCTTATGAGGAAATTTGCTTTGACATATAAGTGTTTGGGGTTGCAAGCATGTTTCTGGAATGAATTACGCTCCCAAACTGTGCTGTGTAATGCTTAAGTGGGTTAAACAGATCTCCTCAAACATTCTTCACTTCTTCATGATAAAAACTTTCAAAAACATTTTAATTTAGCTCTTTGAAGGGTGTCTTCTCTTCTCACAGCCAGTCATTCCAGCTGCATAAGGCCAACATACTTTTCTTGGCAGACCATAAGGTTTTTGCAGGCAGTGCTGAGTCTTTGGAGAAAAAGGCCTGGATGGCAAATTTGAACCTGAAGCAGAAGACTACACACTGGCTTGTACTGCATCCCTAAGGGGCCAGTCCTCCATTACTCATGTACCTTAAGCTCTGTCCTGTACTTTAACTGGGGGAGGGACTATACTGACTCTACTGCCAACCTTCAGGGAGCATTAGTTAGCCCTTTGCAATCTCTGTCCTCAAAAGTTCATCATTGCTAAGGCCAACCATTCTTGGCTTAAAGGGGTTTTGGAGTACTGTTTATCCCCAGAACTGCAAAAAGGAATCAATTCTGATGCCTTTAGGAAATGGGTGGGCACTTTCAGGAGCTTTGGATGACCCAAGTCTCTACAGGTCTCCCAGGCACAGGGTGCGTGCAGGAGTCAGACTTCCACACACTGACATCTCTGAGGTTTTTTTTTTTTTCCCTGAGGTTCTTGAAGGCTCCCTGTATTTGGTTCTGACTTCTAAGCCTTGTTTCTGTGTTCCCAGACACATTAAATATAAATGTAGTAATAGCAAAGCTACTTGGAGCACTTTGGGGAAGCAAACAATTATCTGACGTCAAGAAAGAGAATACTTTTGTGCATCAGCAAGATAGGAAGATCCAAATTCCTGAAACCAGGGAATGTTAGGTGAGGGTCACTTCACCATAAGGTTGCGAGCCCCAAGGGTTTGTGTTTCTTCAGGAGTACAGAGTGCTGGCATTGGAGAAACCATAAAAAGAATGCCTGTGTCAATACCTAAATTATAAAAATAGATCTTTTGCAAAAGAGAAGGGGACCAAGACATGGAAGGAGTGTAGAGGAGGGAAGGGGGTGAAAAAAAGAATTAAGATGTGCTATGTACATGTACCAACTCCCTAGGAGAAATGCAATCATTATGTAACTGCATCCATGAGGAATGCATCATTACATACCAATGAAAAACAGAAAGATAAGGAGAGGAGAATGACATGCCCAAAGTTACCCAGTTAGTTACTGGCAAGACATCAAAGGACTTTGTAATTATGCTCAGTAATTTGCAATTGCTTTTCACTGGTGATGTAGAGGAGTGAAAACATTTAAATGTGTGACATGTAAATAACTGTATTTCAGAAGGAATTAGAATTAAGAGTTAAGGAATTAAGAAAGCTCAAAATCATGTCATTTACAGGAAAATGGATGTAAATAGGGACCATACACTAAGTGAAATAAATTAGACTCAGGAAGTCAAATACTGCATGTTTCCTCTCATATAAGGAATCTAGAAAAAAAATTTTTAAAAGAGAGATGACATGAAAAGAGAGGGGACACTTTTAGAGTAGAGGATTGGAGTTTCGGGAGGAGGAAAGGGTAAGAGAGTTAATTGGAAAGGGAAAATGATCAAAGCATGTTACGTGCATGTAAGAATGGGTCAAAACAAAAATCCACTACTCTACATAACTAATATATGCTAAAATGTTAAAGAAACTTCTAAGAGGCTTATGACCTAACAGATGACAAGAGCTTGAGCTGTAGCCATGAGAGGGAGAAAAATACTTGAGAGACATTTAGAATATAGAGTCAATAGGATTCAGAGAATTTTTTGTAAAGAGTAAAAATGAGGACAAATCAAGGATGAGTCTCAAGGAGTAAGGATTAGGCAAAAGAATGTATAAAGAATGGGTGTTATTTGCCTTTCACCCAAGTATTAAAAAAGAGAAGAAAGGGGCCTGAATGGGTAGTGAGTAAGCAGACAGGTGAACATGAATGGACAATCAGGAGAGATGTCTATCCAGAAATCTGATAAATTGGTCCACATAGATTTCTAAGAATGATGCTGAACTCCTAGCATTTGTGTCAAGCATCTCCAATGCTACCCGATCATCACAAGTGACAAATATTCTTGCATGTCTGTCCCCCAGAGCTCAAATTAAATGCCATATTCCCAAGAGACTTTCCCTAACTGCCTAAGTTGCCTCCCACCAGTGATTTCCATCACTGTACCTGCCATCCTCCTTCATAACAGTTACCAAACGTGGTAAATCACACTTACTGTCTGTGATCTTGTGCATTATCTTACCCTTCACTAGTCATTAAACACATAAATTAAACACATAAATAAATCTTTTCAGTTCCTAAGCCCCCATATAGCATGGTAAGACTCACATTCAACACATGAAGTATTTGTTGACTGAGTCAAAGCATGTGTGAAACAACTGAAGTGCTGGAGGATATATTTACAGAAGAAACTACTCAAATTAACTTTTTTTGGGGGGGTATGGGGGATTGAACTTGGGTCCTTGTGCTTGCAAGGCAGGCCACCGAACCACTGAGCTAAATTCCCAGCCCTCAAATTAACTTTTTAAGTCTACCTTTGAAACTACACAGAACAACTGTGTTTCTACTGCCTAATATTTAAAGACCTGCAATGTGTGTCCATTAGAATAAACCTAGGAAACCACAGGAAATGAATCACATCGGAGTCCAGCCAGGGCCATCATTGGGACCATGTAAACTAGAGAAACGATTACATAAGGTGTCCAAGAAGAAACTGGGCCTTGTTGCTGGTAGGCACTTCTCAGTGGTAGGGTGAAGGCTAATCCCTGGATTGGATGTTACACTGTATCATCTGTGGGATTCTCTTCAAGCCCAAGGACTCCATGATTTCACAGTTTTTCCATCAAAATTATTTAGACACTTGTTGAGATTAGTTTGCTTTGTTTTCTTATTTTTTCAAGCTTGGAGAAAAAAATGAATTTGTTCTCATTTAACTAAGCAGTTTCCTTGTTTAGATAACAGGTCTGAACTGCTTTGTTTGCTTTTCTCTTTTCTAAACTTGTAGAAAAGAGTGTTTTTGTTCTAATTTGGTTAAGGAGTTTTCTTGACTTACAGATTAAGTCGATTTTTAAACCTTGTACGAGATCCCTCTTGCTTAGTTCCAAACTGCACAGGAAGGCCCTGACCAACTGTCTAAACTCGCTGACCAATTGGCAGGATACAGGCAATAAATATTCTGTGACCTACTGAGTGAGAGTAAGTGGGACAATGGATCAGGGATGACTGATGACGGATCATGGTTGATTGCATGTGTTGGTCAACATTTCCCAGAGTCATAAGATTTCCTTCAGTGCCCAAAAGGGCCTCATATAACTGATTTATTACTATGTTGACCAGTGGCAGAAAAATAAGACAATAATCACCTTTTAAGGTTATGATTTAATTTTAGCTGTTGCTCTGCACAAAAAATCATCAATGATGCCTGTAGCCTTGATGTTTTCACCAAGGACTGAATAGACCTGTTTGTGATTGAAAAATCTTTATACTTAATGATGTAGAAAAAGAGTTAGACCCAGCCTCCCTTCTGTTCCAGAAAAGGAAAAAGGAAAGTGTGCTGGATATTTGACTTTGCTCACCACTGCTGTATACACTGCCAATCTCAAGACTAAACCTTCTTCTGCCAAAGTTGATTCTAATGGAAATGGAGATATAGACTAAACTCACAGAGCACTGAGTAACCATATACTGTCAATAACTTATCCCCAACCCCCTTCACTCAAGTGTGCATTTAACCAGCTTTCTCCCTGAGGCAAAAAGCTTCTCTTCCTTACATGCTTCAGATAAGATTAGGTCCTGTTCCTATGAACTTCCACAGGACTTTGTGCTTTTCCTTTCCCTAGAATTGCAATTGCTTCTCACATCATTTACGCTTTCAGATTATAAACTCTATGAGAGTGAAGATTCTAACTTTTTAGCACTGCATTTCTACTTCATACCATTTTGTATGCCTGGAACCTAGAAGATGTTTAATAAATGTTTAATAAGTAGCTGTGCAGGCTGGGTGTGGTGGTTCATCCCTGTAATCCCAGCACTTGGGAGGCTGAGGCAGGAGGATCGCTATGAGTTTGAGACCAGCCTGGACTACATAGTGAGTTCCAGGTCAGTCTCAACTACACAGTGAGACCCTGTCTCAAAAAAAAAAAAAATAGCTGTGCAAGCCGACGGATGGACAGGTGAAGTACTGCATCTCTATTACGGTCAAATGCCTGATGGAATCGGTCACTCTTGAAGTTAAGACAGACAACTTTTGTTTTAAAATGAGTAGAATGTACTTCCCTTTCCAACAAATAAGCATGAACATTTAGTCAAAAGTCAGTTAAAGTACTTTAGAAATACTCTTACCTAAAGCATAGTCCCTTCGAGGAACACTTGGAGGTGCTTTGACTTTTAACCTGTAGATAACAGCCATTAGACCAAGAGTCAGTGGTCAGGACAACTGGTGCCAAGTCCCACAACATAAGCTCACAACCTAGAGAGTGCAGATATCTACCAGAATAAAGGCTTCTGTTTGGTCCATCACTTTGAAAGATTTAGTAACCACAGTCAAGCCATCAGTGAGAGATCTCCCTCCTCTCCCCATCTCCCCAATGCATGATGTGGCTGAACTTGGCAAAAGTCAATTATCTCTGAGACCTCAGAATATCATTAAGCACTGAGTTTGGAGGTCCAAAGATAAGTGTTGGTTGACTGATAGAAAAATAAAAAGATAAACTGAAGTTAAATGGTTTACAAATGCTTTTAAAAATAGGGCAAAAAGGGGGAACAAGGAAGAGGGAGGGGAAAAGGACGGCACAATAAAAAAAAGTGAAAATGGAAAAAATGGAGACAAAGCTTTTGTACATAAGGAGGGGAGGAGGCTTGAGGGGGGAATGGGATAAAATAAAATAAAATTTATTTTTAAAAAATAGGACAGAAATTATGTAAGCATAATTATTTTTGTACTATTTAAAAACATTGCAAATGAGTACTGAATATCAAGATTTAAAGTTTAAAGTGAAGTATTATGTTAATAATATTCATTCTGTTTAAGAATAATTTGCTTAATGAAATTTAAAACGTATACAAATAAATAAATAAATATCCAGTAGGCTTTATTAAAATATTATAATCTTTTATACAAGCAGTGTATAGGGTAATCATATATAAAACTTATTTCACTAATTTAAAAAGTTTGTTTTTAAAAAAGTAATCTTTACAAACTAGAAATAATTTTGCAAAAAAGGTTTGCATTCGTATAGATATTCTTATTTTTCCCATTTTTTCCCTAAACACGTGTCAATAGGTTTTTCTGGGAAAGATATTAAACTTACAGAGAGAATGATCATCCAAGATGTTATAGGGAAAAACAAAAACAAAAATCAAAAGTGGGTTTCTTACTTGGGTTGGTTCAGTGAACAGCAAAATTTCAAAATACACAAGCCAGCTATTGTCCATGGCTGCCATCATTACATTAAAGAAAAGAAAGGGTATTTTAACAATACCTCTAATCATCTTAGAACAAAGGACAAATTCAGGAAAGGTTAGAGGTCTGGAATAAAAGATGTTTGAACTTTATTTGGTAGTGGCAGCTACAACAACCCCAGCATTTGCTCGTGGGACCACAGACCCATGACAACTCTGTCATAGCCTTTAGTTAAATAACCAGTGTGTTCAACTGTACTTCCTCTTTCAGCAGAACACCTGCTGCCTGGTCTTAAGTGAGAGCTTTACTGCAGGTCATTTTGAACCAAGGATCCTTTGACTTCAATCAGGGAAATAACCACAGTGGCCATATTTTCCAAACTAAGAACAAAATATGGTTTGCCAAGTAAAAAATTCTCTCGGGGACAATGAGCAAAATGTTCAAAATAGAAACTGTCACAAAAAACTGGTTGCTGTGCATATGACTGACTAGGGAACAGAGAAGTATTTTGTACATTGAGAAGTGGGATAAATCTGAAAACTGTGGAGTAATCAATCTAGACTTGCTAGTGATTGTAACAATGACTTGCAGGGCTTGTCCACAGAGGATGAGAGTCTATATTATGCTAGTCACGGGACAGACTGTAAGAACAAATTCTCCTTTTCTGTAGGATGACCACTGCCCCATAGATAGAACACCATTTATACTGCTTTAAGATGTTCACTTATAAATATTGAGGTTCATTTACATTTTATGGTTTTAGCACATCACCAAAAGTGATTATTTACTTTTAAATTTAGCAAAGATCAAAAAGGATGAAGAAACTTTATACATTGTTAATGGCGGAACATTTTGGGAATGGAAATTTTGTAACAGCAATCAAAATTTTTAAGACACAATTCCTTCCATGCAACAATTTCACTTTAGAAAAAAGAATCATTTCAGGAAGTTAGCCTACTGTTATACTCCAAATATGCAAAAACAAAATTATTGAAGTCTTCGTCGTGACAGTTAAACAAACAGAAATAGCCTGAGAATTTCAATTGATGTGATCAAATCACCCTCCAAAAACTATATTAATCAGCTATTCAATGAAGAGTATGATTTATTTTACATACTAATTAAGTAAGGTGTCTGTGATAATCCTAAATTTGGCAAAGCAATTTGATAGAATGGTGTGTGTAGTACGATGCCATGATAAAAATGTTTTTACAGACATGTACCATGGAGGATAGCATGTGTGTGTGAACATACACTGAACTTAGCCATGGCAATATATATTCCTGGGTAGTAGATTAGGGTAAGGATATGAGGAAAAGGGTGATTTTTATTTCATACAATTCAGAATTCCTTGCTTCCCACCCCCACCCCAAACCCTGTGAATCTGCATTACCTTCATTACCTGTGAATCTTCATTACCTTCACAATAAATTAACAAAATGCCATTTCCCCATTCCACTTGACTTAAACTTTGAGTGGCAAGTGAAGGTATGTATAATTTCTATTCTCTCCTTCTTCTTCTTCCTCCTCCTCCTCCTCCTTTTCCTCCTTTTTGTAAAGTTTAAAGGTTTTTAGTGTACAAAAAGATTTAGGATTATTGCTTTCCCTCTCCAGGGGTTTGTTAAAAACACATTATAAGGCAATAATCAAAAAAAGCAGAAATCAGCTTGGCACAGTGGTGCATGCTTGCAATCTCATCAGTCTGGAAGGCGGAGAAAGGAGGATTGCAAATTCAAGTCCAGTGCAGGAACTTAGCGAAAGCCTATCTCAAAAAAAAAAAAAAAAATTAAAAAATGAAAGGCTTGTAAAAGCCCTGAGTTAAAAAAAATCAGTGTTTATATAACACATATAGTATTCCAAAGATGCTAGGACTGTTTGGCAGTTTAGTTGGATTTCTCCAGATGTGGCGTGCTTTGACATTTGGTAGGCACTCTTAGCAGGCAAACTCACCTCTTCTCCATGAGAAGGAAAATCCAAGTTTCCTGAGTGCCTTGTGGACCTAATTCTCCTGCCTTGTGATCCTCACCACAGTGGCTCACAGAGAAATAAGAAAGGATGATATGCTAAACAAGCTGTAGCTCCCTACTCAGGTAGAGAAATTTGTTTACTTTTACATAGCACAGGCCAACTTATTTTACGTAAATAAGTATGAGATAGAGACTAACTTACTTTTTTATTTTGTTCATTATTCCACCTTCATTATTCTTAATATCAGTGACCATCTTTTGAAGCTGCCTGTATGAAACAAAATTAAATGCAAAATATTAATAACTAGAATCATTTTTTAAAAAGAAATCTTCCACTCTTCTTGAATACAAGACAGTAGGGTGGGGCCGGGGGGGGGAATTCCTACAGCAAAGCTTTGGGATAGCATCATTATATTGTAGTCAAATTGATCATTTGAACATTACCACCAGTTTTTCACCTTCATAGAAACTTCAGAATCTGATAGTTTCTCACATTTATCTGCATAGGAGTCTCTTGGAAGGTTATTGAAACCTCAGCACCTGGGCCTGCCCCCTTTTTCAAGTGGGTAGGTCTGAGGTCTGCATTGCTAATAAGTGGTACTGACATTGGTCAGAGATCATCCTGTGGCACCACTGGAAGGTGATAGATCATACCTTTTCCACTGTAGCTTTTCAGTTGTGCCCAAGTAAAGCAAATTCCTGCTGGGAGAAAGTAGGAGTCCTCACTAAGCCAGGGAAAAGTTTTAGATAAACTGAGTGGTCAATCTGGTAGCGTAATGTGGGGGTATGCTTTTCTTTTTTTTTTTTTTCAGCTTTAATTGAGTTTATTGGTACATTTTAGGGATACAGTAGTTACATTCATTGTTGGGATCTTGTACCTCTACATGACGTCTTGATTCTCATTTTCTCCCCTTACCCCTGCCCTCCCTTCAACCCCTCCTCCCCTCCCCATCTACAAACACTTTATTTTCATCTTTTCATTATCTCACATTTTTTTCTTTTCCCTTATTACCCTTTCTGTACTCATCCCACCTTCCCTACACCTTTAGCTCCTTTCTTCCCATTTCTAAATGTCAGTAAGGGGTATGTTTTTCTAGATGGGTTCTTCTTTGTGACTTCTCTCCTGGTGATTTAACTACTCCATGCCTTAATATTTCATTTATTTTATAGTCACATGTTCTTGGAGGGCATAGTTTGCAAAAGCTGCAGATGGAGATGAAGGGTCTGCAGGCAGAAACTACCCCTCACATTGTCCAACAGGAAAGAAGATAGGTCCTGCTTGGAGCTGAGCAGCACTGCAGGATGGTTTTGCCACCTTAATTTGAAGCTCTAAAATTAACAAAGTGTTTGGTTACATTTGGCACTGTAATTCAAATAACAATAAATAAATAAAATAACATGACCTTTTAAACTTTTTTCTTTTTCTTTTCTTTCTACTTTTTTTTCAGTTACAGGTGAATGGTGGCTGGTTTCAGAGATTACACAGCTTTTAATTTTATAATTACCCTTATTAAGCATGTAATATGTGGTAAGTAAAGGAAGCCAATTTAAAAAGGCTCCATACTGTATGATTCCAACTACGAATGCAACATTCTGAAAAAGGCAAAACTGTGAATACAGTAAAAAGATCTATGGTTTTCAAAAGCTTGAAGGTAGGGAAGGAACCATGAACAGGGAGGAGCACAGGGAACTTTTAGGAGAACAATTTTATATGACACTGTAATAGTAACATGTAATTATATATTTGTTGTATCACAATTTGGGAATAATACTGAAAACCTCACTCGTAATTCCAAACACCTCCATTAACATTTAATTGAACAGTCTTCCAAGTTTGTGCTACCCATGGAAAAGATGTATAGAGTTTATACAATTATAAAATATGAATTTTATAATCTGCATTTGCTACTTCATATCTGTGTTTACTTTATATATGTATATAAAATATGTGTATGTTTACACTTAATATTTTAGACATTTTTTGGTGATACTGGAGAGTGAACCCAGAGCCTGAGGTATACCTGAAGCCTCTGATAACCACTATTCTACTCTCAATTTCTATAATATCAGCTTTTTTAGATTCCACACATGAGTAAGATCATGCAGTATTTGTCTTTCTGCACCTGACTTAACACAATGATCTCTCATCCACTCATGCTGTTACAATTTCCAGAATTTTATCCCTATTCTATGGCTGAATAGTATTTCACAGCATAAATATAGAAGTTATCAGTTTAGGAGCACTTAAATTATTTCCATTTTTTATCTTTTATGAATAATGCTACAATAAACAGGATAGTGCAGATGTCTCTTTGACATACTGATTTCATTTCCTTTGGATATATGCCCAGTAGTGGGACTGATAGATCATTTTTTTTTGTTTTGATTTCAGTACCGAAGGTTGAACAAGGGCTTCATGCATATTACCACTGAGCTTCATCCCCAGACCTTTTCATTTTAAGACAAGGTTTTGCTAAGTTGCCCAGGCAGACTTCAAACTGGTAATCCTCCTGCCACATCCTCCTGAATAACGCATGCAATACATGACAGGCTATTTTTAATTTTTTGAGGAACTTCCATGCTGCTTTCCACAGTGCTGTACGAATTTACATTTCCACCGACAGTGTCTGTGAGTCCCTTTTTTCTGTGTTCTTGCCACTTCTTGTTATCTTTTGTCTTTTTTGGTAGTACGTATTTAAAATGAGGATACATCTCACTGTGGTTTTGATTTTCACTTCCATGATGATTACTGATGTTGAGTTTTCTCTTTTTAATGTACCCATTGGCCATTTACGTGTCTTCATTAGTTTATTTAGGTTTATTGTCCATTTTTATTTTAATTGTATTTTATTTTTGAGACCAGGTCTTACTATGAAGTCCAGACTGGTCTTTAACTCACTATGTATTCTAAGCTGGCCTTGAATTCATAATTCTCTGGAATCAGCCTCCCAAGTGCTGGGATGATGGGTGTGTTCCATCACAGGTGGCTTTATTGTTCACTTCATTGTCCACTTGGATTAACTTTTTTTTTTTTTTTGCTATTGAGTTCTTTTTACATTCTAGATGCATAGTTTGCAAATATTTTCCCCCATTCCATAGGTTGCCTATTTGTCCTGTTGATTTTCTCCCTTGCTATGCAAAAGCTTTTTAGACTGATGTAATCTCAATTATATATTTTTGCTTTTGTTCCCTGTCTTTTGGGTATTATAAAAATACTGCTCATTCTAACTCCCTTTATATATTTTGAACATTATCATATGCATGTACCACCCTTAGGCCTTAAATATACCTTTCTTGCTTCTGGAAACAGAATGGCTTTTATGTAGCTGAAACTCTGCTCCAGGAAGTTGTGTCAAGAAGTGGTAAAGTATCAGGACCCTACCTAAGCTCGAGGAAGGAGACAGAGGAGACAACACCAGAACTGAGGAGTCCAAAAGAAACAAGAAGAAACGTGATGATGAATGCTGAATGCCTAACTTCTGAAAGCCAACAGGAGACTTGGGCCTGGGGACAGGAAGGGAGGGAACAATCTAGGTTCTGTCCTGTGCCTTCAAACCCAGTCTGCCTGCCAGGTGACTCTCTGGAACATATTTGCTAAGATATGGTCTAGTTTACCTTATTTATTTATTTAAAACCCAAATTACTGGGCTTTAAACTATACCAATGGGGAAAAAAATTCCAAGAAAGACCAGCAATCTGTATTTTAACATATTTCTGAAGACTGAGGACTCTTGGATATACCAGAGGCTATTAAGAATCAGTATTAAAGGACCATCCCAGGTTTATCTCCTTCTAGGTCATGCTTAATTATGGAGAGCAAAACAGAAATGTTCCTAGCCTCCTGAGTATCATTCCCTGTCCACTATTGCCTGGAATATCTTTCATGGCAAATCTTACTCTTGATTCCAAAATGACAGGCCAGAGATTCACCTCAACACTTTCCCCAGGACAGGAAACACACCAACAGATAAGAGTTAAACTCAATGGTAGAACATGGGCTTTCAACAAGGGAGAAGAGCTAGGGGAATAAGCTGTGGCTGCTGGTGGCCAGGCCTTACATTCACTTATGCTTGTGACAGCACACATTGGGCACAGAGGTGCTTCTCATGTGCCCAGCACCAGAGCAGTGGTTCATGAACCACACACACAACCCAGCCTTCTTCAATGAGTATTTCTTGAATTGAAGGTAAGACCTTATATCAGTGGCAGTTTCCCTACATTGTCTCCTCCTTCAAATAAGAGTTAGGCTAGAAAAGTGGTCTTGACTTTGGCTGCACAATAGAATCACTCAGGGAGTTTTTATCACCTTGATACTAGGGCTTCACTCCAGGCCATTTAAACCAGCATCAATGGCTTTAAGTGATTTCACTGTGCTGCCAAGATTGAGAACCATGGGCAGCTTTATCAGTGCAGGATTTCCTTGCGCATCCCCCATGAAGATCCTGGCTAAGAAAGACAAGGAGGAGAAGCATCCATAGAGACAGCTGCCCTTCAGAACAGTTCCAGGCATACAGAGGCTAGAGCAAGTCCAGGAAGGACAGGGTTGGCAGGAAACTAAGTTGAGCCCCTGCATAAAGGGATTCTGGCCAGATAAACAAAGAGTAGTCCAGGAAAATTCATATTTTACAAAATATATTTCCTATAATTTTATTAAATATGGGAGATGATTTAAAAGATGGCACCATCTGCCAGTAGTATATTTTTAAGAGGCAGGAAACAAAAACATCAGAAAGCATCTCACTTTCATTTTAGAATTCTTTAGTCCACACACAAAAGAACATAAAATAATAAGATTTTACTCTGTGTTGCTTTGTTCTCTCTCCCCCCCCACACACACACTCATTCACTTACACTTCTGTCTTCCCAGAAAAGGTTGAAGGTAAAATAATACTAATCAGAAAATCCCTTTTAAATCTGGATTTAAGAACAGATTAAAGAGGTTCTCAAATGAAATCAGTTCCTTGCAAACAAACAAAGCAGGTAAGTTCTTCCTTCATCCCCCGTGTTGTAGCCCTGGATCCCATCCTTAAATTCACCCCTTCAGTATCTGTAGGGCTAGTGTTCCTGCTGAGCCAAGATCAAAGTGGACACCTTCGCCTTTACACCTGGAAAATGCACTGTGGCCCTCCAGTCCAAGTTGCAAGAATTTATTGGGACATTTTTCAATTTTGATTTCTAAAACTTAGAGCTCAGCAGGCTACTCTGTTCTAAAGAGCCTGCAGTAGCTACTGCATACCAAATCAACACAGACTTTTTTTTAAAACCTTG